TTTATCCGTTCATCCAATGATGGACACTTAGGTTGTTTCCATCTCTGGGCTATTGTAAATAGAGCTGCAATGAACATTTTGGTACATGACTCTTTTTGAATTATGGTTTTCTCAGGGTATATGCCCAGTAGTGGGATTGCTGGGTCATATGGTAGTGCTATTTGTAGTTTTTTAAGGAACCTCCATACTGTTCTCCATAGTGGCTGTACCAATTCACATTCCCACCAGCAGTGCAAGAGTGTTCCCTTTTCTCCACACCCTCTCCAACATTTATTGTTTCTAGATTTTTTGATGATGGCCATTCTGACTGGTGTGAGATGATATCTCATTGTAGTTTTGATTTGCACATCTCTAATGATTAATGATGTTGAGCAGCTGTTCATGTGCTTCTTGGCCATCTGTATATCTTCTTTGGAGAAATGTCTATTTAGGTCTTCTGCCCATTTTTGGATTGGGTTGTTTGTTTTTTTGATATTGAGTTGCATGAGCTGCTTGTATATTTTGGAGGTTAATCCTTTTTCAGTTGCTTCATATGCAAATATTTTCTCCTAGTCTGAGGGCTGTCTTTTCGTCTTGTTTATGGTTTCCTTTGCTGTGCAAAAGCTTTGAAGTTTCATTCGGTCCCATTTGTTTATTTTTGTTTTTATTTCCATTTCTCTAGGAGGTGGGTCCAAAAGGATCTTCCTGTGATTTACACCATAGAGTGTTCTGCCTATGTAACAGAACTGTATGCAGAAAACTATAAGACACTGATGAAAGAAATTAAACATGGGGCTTCCCTGGTGGCGCAGGGGTTGAGAGTCTGCCTGCCGATGCAGGGGACACGGGTTCGTGCCCCGGTCCGGGAAGATCCCACATGCCGCGGAGCGGCTGGGCCCTTGAGCCATGGCTGCTGAGCCTGCACTCCACAATGGGAGAGGCCACAACAGTGAGAGGCCTGCATACCGCAAAAAAAAAAAAAAATAATAATTAAAGATAATACAAACAGATGGAGAGATATGCCATGTTCTTAGATTAGAAGAATTAGAATTAGAATCCATGTGAAAATGACTGTACTACCCAAAGCAATGTACAGGTTTATTGCAATCCCTATCAAACTACCACTGGCATTTTTCACAGAACTAGAACAAAAAATTTCACAATTTGTATGGAAGCACAAGAGACCCCAAATAGCCAAAGCAATCTTGAGAAAGAAAAATGGAGCTGGAGGAATCAGGCTCCCTGACTTCAGACTACACTACAAGGCTACAGTAATCAAGACAGTATGGTACTGGCACAAAAGCAGAAAGATAGATCAATGGAACAGGATAGAAAGCCCAGAGATAAACCCACGCACATATGGTCACCTTATCTTTGATAAAGGAGGCAAAAATATACAGTGGAGAAAAGACAGCCTCTTCAATAAGTGGTGCTGGGAAAAGTGGACAGCTACATGTAAAAGAATGAAATTAGAACATTGTTTTTTTAGACATAATGCTGTTGTACACTTAATAGACTACAATATAGTAAATGTAACTTTTATATGCACTGGGAAACCGAAAAATTCATGTGACTCACTTTATTTTGTTCTTTTATTTTAAACTCTTTTTTTTTTGAATTTTTTGGCCACGCCATGCGGCAGGTGGGATCTTCATTCCCAGACCAGGGATCGAACTCACACTTCCTGCATTGGAAGCACATAGCCTTAATCACTGGACTGCCAGGGAAGTCCTGACTCACTTTATTTTGATATTTGATTTATTGTGGTGGTCTGGAACCACACTGAAATATCTCCGAGGTGTGACTGTAGTTAATGTTTCTTAGCACAGTGCCTCTCCACATAGATTAGATTGAGAAATCTCAGCTTGGTGAGGTATAAACCTGGGGTGGGTTTCATTTTTCTCCCAGTAACTGCTACTAACTTTGTTTAATACTATCTCAATCTGATCCAATAACTTCCAGTCATTTCCATTTTAAAAGTTTTATTTCTGGTTGATATTTTTTCAGCCACATTCAGGTATTTTTATTTATGACCCTTGTCTGGTATAAAGTCCATCTTCCCCACCCCAGTGAGCTCCTGTTCTATTGCAGCTTGCCTCAGCCTCCTCTGTCTTGCTTGTTCTGCCCTCAGTGCCCCAGGGATGCAGAAGGAGTGAGGGAAGGCAGTGGCTCAGGCAACAGTTCACACCTCTTGGTCTTCCCTCTTTTGGGCAGCGGTTCCTTGCTATGCTGGCTGTCGTTGGTGATATGCTGCTGTTGACTTCTGTTTGAACTGGATCTAGGCTTCAACTGCCCTAGTGCTTTTGGTGTGGAGGCAAAATTCTCCCCCCAAGTACGATGCCCTGGGCTTTGCCTTCAGGGCTGTTTCACCCTCAGAAGGGTTGGTCCCTCCAGTGTTACTGGTAGCAACTTACCCAATCTTACCCCACACTGAGGACCGTGGGAACCTTCAGGGTCCCCCTCAGTTGTCTTCAGAATTTTGGGGCTCTGGGTGAGAGGCTATCACCACCTCAGAGTTCCCAGAAGCCTCTGCCTCCAGGTGAAAAGTGAATTCCCTCCCCATTGGATAGGTTCAGGTAACGAGGTGAAAACCTGATTTTCCTCATGTAGGAGTAAATGGAGAAGACGTTGTCTCTCCTCAATACATCTTTGAATAAATGAATGAATGTAAAAAAAAAAGTCACGTTCCCTCAAAATCAAAGTATGAAGTTTTCCTTTTTACCATTTCTTTCTAATTTTTATTGTTAAAGATTTTTATTTATAGGGTTGACAAGTATTTCATAGCTGAAAAGGAGAGCATAAGCCATTGGACATTGTGTTGTCCCCCCTTCTCATTGAGAGAAAAGGATAGTACAGGAAAGCAGAATTCTGGCCTTTGTTTCTCATTCACATTCTGGTATAGAGAGAGTCATTTTACTTATTGTGAGCCTCATTTTTTTTTCCTATAAAATGAGAGAAATATCTCACTGATTTTCCTACCTTACAGGGTTTTGCAAAGTTTAATACAATGGTCTATAGGTCAGGGTCTTTTATATTTTATCTCTCTCTCTCTCTCTTTTCTTTTTTTTTATGTCTTTATTGGAGGATAATTGCTTTACAATGTTGTGTTAGTTTCTGCTGTATAACAAAGTGAATCAGCTATATGTATACATATATCCCCGTATCCCCTCCCTCTTGCATCTCCCTCCAACCCTCCTTATCCCACCCCTCTAGGTGGTCACACAGCACCAAGCCGATCACCCTGTGCTATGCAGCTGTTTCCCACTAGCTATCTATTTTACATTTGGTAGTGTATATATGTCAGTGCTACTGTCTCTAGGTCAGGGTCTTTTACCCCCCTCACCTGGGTTGTGACAACCAAACATATCTCTGGACATTATCAAATGTCTTTTGGGGAGCACATCTATCCCCAGATGAGACCTCTGGTATGAATGAATGACTTTAAGCTGATTGGGTGAGAGCTATCCTGGAGCTCAGTGTGGCTTGTGAAGATTAAGGATTTAAACTGTTCTATAGAATTTAATGGGTTAGGACAAGCAAGGACCCAAGCAACAGCTTTCCCTCTGGTTGTGTTGAGTTGTATCAATAAAAGTATTGTATCCATCATATTGAAGAAGGAAGTGTATTAGACTAAATGATAAGAATAAAATCTATGACGTTAGAAGATTTGTAAATGCACAATTTTGTTGCAATTCATGAAATGTCATTTGAAATAGAATGTATAAAATTTTGGAGTTAGAGATACAGGCAGATCTGGGTCCATCAGATATCTGAAGATACAAGCAGGATAACAAGAAGGAGCATGCAGAATGCTTATTTCTCAAGTTCATGAGACTGAGGTGTACTTGGAACAGGGGCGATTAATCAAGTGGAGGAGGGGACTAGGATGAGGCCAGGTCCTTGCTGCCTTGGCAACGACCCTGTTCTGAAGTTATGGCCAGCACAGAGAAAAGACCCATTTAGAAGTGGGGTGAATCATTTTGAGAACTCACCCTTGAGGAGTGATTGTAGTGGAGATATACAAGGAGAAAGAACACACAATAAAGGACTGGGAAGTTTGCAAAGGAGTTTCTCCACCCTGGGTGTTCCTGTTCCTGCCAGCACAGTCGTGGATGGTGTAAATAAATTAGGTATTCATCAGTCTGTTTTGTTGCCCCTGACCTGCTTTCCCCCACTGCTTTGCTTCTTGGAAGAAAATGTTAGAGGGGACACATTTCTTATAAACTGTTCATTATTCATTTTTTAGCATCCAAGAAGTTTGATAAGAGCAGGTTGAAAGTGGGAATGAGGGAGAGTGGGAGAGAGACGCAAGAGGGAGGAGATATGGGGATACATGTATATGTATAGCTGATTCACTTTGTTATAAAGCAGAAACTAACACACCATTGTAAAGCAATTATACTCCAATAAAGATGTTAGAAAAAAAGAAAGTGGGAATGAGAAAACCAAAATGGACCTATCTGGAAATAAAAGAAGAAAGGAAAGGGCTTCAAAAAAGAGCGCAGAGCTGTGGTGGGAGAGGAGTTTTTATTTATAGACCATATTATGTACATATTTTCAATTGAGTTTCTATTCTTACCTTTATATGTGAAACTAAAACAAACAGAAGAGCCACGCCATTTTGCCAGCAGGTGGCACCATAAGAATCTCCTATAAGAAAAGGGTGGCAAATGTAAACAGGATCCTTAATATTTTACCTTTCAGGAAAACTCTAGACATCAATGTAGATTCATAATTTTGATGATATTAGCAACGTGTGTACGTTGCTTAAAATGGTTTCGGAAGATTCATCTCTCCCTTCATTTTTCATGCTAACATTGCTCATTCAGTGAAAGATTGTATTCCCATAAAAGGACAAAAAACTAGGTTTTAAGAAAAAAGTATATATATATATATACACACACACACACATATATGTATTGCATATATATATTTGTATTGCTTACTACAGTTGTTTGACAAATACTTTTATTTAGTGATTATAGCATATGTTATTGTAAGGATATGTTAGATGGTTAGAGAGGAAGTAACTTAGATGGTCACCCTGTTTTTACACCCCTTTTCTGCTCTGTACTGTGAGGATTCCTTGTGCCCAGAGATCTCCCCAATGCTAAGCAATCTCTCAGACTCAGGGGGGACCTGGTGCCGGAGGTAGTGAGTGTTTCTGGCCTTTGCAAACAACTCTGAATAGGTTGATGTTTTGGGCTCGCCTTTGAAGTTCCCTCCACATTCCACGGGATTCAGGGGAATTTGTTTCCCAGGGGTATGGTCTGGCCTTTTGTTGGCATCATTTGATCTGGTCTCATCGCCGTGTGCCATTCTGCTACCACCAGCTGGGCTGGAACTGGGGCCTTGGTCTAGGGTGTGAGTGGAGACGTCTTGATCTTGACATAGAAGAGAGATGCCCTTGTTGGAGTCTTTGCCCTTCAGTGGGTTTATAGAATATTTCTCTTGGGCTTGCGGCTTCTCTTCTATAAAGTGGGAAGTTCTGTTATTTTGAGATAGCGACTGCCTTTTGCTTTTCATGGGGTCCTTGGGACCAGTGTGATGGAAAGGAGGCATCTGGGACTTGGTTTTGTATATTCCTTGGATCGTATTTGTCGTCAGTGCTCTGGGAAAGGAGGTAAAAAGAAGAAAGATCTCTGAAAACAGATGAAGAGGCTCATATTTAGCATTTTCAAGTTATTAGACCATGGCCCCTTTCCGTGTGGTATTAGGTGAGGTAATAAAGTGGCAGGGAAGAGCGTGAAGGGTGAGAATGGGTGGTAACAACGTGGAGAAGTGGCTCTTTCCTTAAGAAGAAAAAGGCAGCACTTTCTCAGGGAGAGGACAATGTAAAGAGGTCATTTGGGAAGAAGCCATATCCATGAGTTTAGTAAGCATTTTCTTACCTAAATTTATTAGCCTGTAGATCCCTGTGCTTCTGTCCTCCCTGTGATGAGAACATAAGAACATCTTCTGGTCTCTTCTGACTTCCCTTCTCAAAGTAAGAGGAGAACATTTCCTTGATGATATCTGTTTTGAGTTAATTAATAGGTGTTATGGGTTGAATTGTATCCTCCCCAAATGTCATATGTAGACGTCCTAATCCCCAGTACTTCAGAATGTGACCTTATTTGGAGGCAGGCCCTTTACAGAGATAATCAAGTTAAGATGAGGTCATTAGGGTGAGCCCCAGCCCAATATGACTGGTGTCCTTATAATAAAGAGAAATTTGGACACAGAGACTCAGATAGGGGGAAGGTGATGGGAAAAGGCACAGGAAGAAGATGGCCATTGACAAGCCAAAGAGGGTGGCCTGGAACAGATCCTTCTTTCCCAGCCTTCAGAAGGAACCGACTCTTGATTTTGGACTTCAAGCCTCCAGAAATGTGAGAAGACACTTCTGTTGCTTAAGCCACCCAGTTTGTGGTGCTTTGTTCGGGTAGCCCTAAAAAACGAATACAGTAACAGAAGAAGGAAAAGAATGATCGAAGCTAGTTCTCTGGGCAGAGAAAGAGTATATGAATACCATTAGATCACATTACAAAATAGGCTGATCTGGCATGATGAATGGAAACAGAAAAACCTAAAGCAGTTCCCCAATGTTTACCTCAAATATGTGAAAGAGGATTTAGAAACACCAAGGTCAGAGGTTTAAACGGACTTGGCCCATGGAGGTTTTGTCTGAATGTTTTATTTGGCAAGCATGGTGTTTTCAAAAGAAAATGACTGGGTGTGAGTGATACACAGAGCTGGTGCCCTATTGTTTCATTCACCTCAATTATGTGACCTCCTACCCACCTGAGCCAAGAGTTGCAATTGCCGACCATGAGTAAGTGAGTTTGTTGCTCTTTGAGTTAATGTTTCAGCATCTTGTAGTCATAGCTGCTGTAGAAGACCCGGTTTGTTTTTAAGACATCTCATGAGTTGGTCACTTAGAGTTCAAAGTCTTGCACTAGTTTGCTGTAATGGGAGTGAGTTCCCTAAATCTACATGGGTTAGTAGGCACCAGGCAGAGGACTTATGACCAGATAAAGGGCCTAGAATTTACATTAAACTCCTAATATTCTTTCATCAAATAACTTCTTGGTGAGGTAGTCAAGGCAAGAGATAGTCCTTTTGGGGTCGCTCTTCTTCTGTTGTCTTCTTGAGTGTGTGTGTGTGTGTGTGTGTGTGTGTGTGTGTGTGTGTCCATCTAGTTATCCAATTTAACAAGGATGTTTGAGTGCCTACTTTGTGCCAGGCAGTATATTCTTGACTCTGGTTTTCTTTACGTTGAACATATAATTAATCATAAAGCTCTGACAATTCCCCATTTAAATATCTCGAAATGCTGGTCCACTTAAGATGCAATTTGGTGGGAAGCAGCCGCATAGCATAGGGAGATCAGCTCCATGCTTTGTGTCCACCTAGAGGGGTGGGATAGAGAGGGTGGGAGGGAGGGAGACGCAAGAGGGAGGAGATATGGGGATATATGTATATGTACAGTTGATTCACTTTGTTATATAAACAGAAACTAACACACCATTGTAAAGCAATTATACTCCAATAAAGATGTTGAAAAAAAGATGTAATTTCACTTTCTAAATATCTTAAGATACTCATTTTTTTTCACCTGGCCAATGGCCTAGTTTAGGCCTTTAAACCCTGGCCTACACTCTGGAATTCTCCTATCTGGTCTACCTTAAACATTACAGCTGAGTAATCCTTCTCACACGCGGACATGTAATCTCCATACTCCCAAACCCTGTAGGGTGAGATTTAAACTCTTGCAAGACCTATGAAGCTATTCATGATTGGAGACACTGCCTACACTGCTTTGTCTGTAAACATTTCACCTACACCTTCTCGTCACCCCTTACACCCCTGCAGGTTGAGCAACCTGTAGCAAATCATTCTCATGCATGCGCCTTTGTACATACTGTTCCTACTGCCAGGAGTGGCCTTGCCACGTGTCCTTGTGACAAGCTGCCCACCCCCCTACCCCACCCATCTTCATTCTCTTCCTCTTCTAAGATTCTGCTCATACACTGCCTCTTTTGGGACATCTCACCTGAGCCTCTTTGATAGACATAGGAAACTTTCCATGCTCTTGTTCTACCTTGAAAACAACTCTAATTTAGCAATTAGTATTTTCTGTGATAATTTTTTGCAAGCATGGCTAACTTCCAATTTAAATGTGAGCATCTCGAGGGCACAGACCATGTTTTTTCATATTTGCATTCCTGTGTCTATCTGAGATATTGTAATGGGGTTTTGTAAAGTCTGGCCCACAAAACACCTGTCCCAGAATAATCTGCCTTAGTGTCAGCTCATTTACAAATGTGGATTTTGAGCCTAACTCCTAACCTACTGATCCAAATCTCTACAGATGAAGACTGGGAATATGCATTTTAAACAATCCACCTGGTGACACAGTGGTTAAGAATCCGCCTGCCAATGCAGGGGACACGGGTTCGAGCCCTGGTCCGGGAAGATCCCACATGCCGCTGAGCAACTAAGCCCGTGCGCCACAACTACCGAGCCTGTGCTCTAGAACCTGCGAGCCACAACTACTGAAGCCTGTGCACCTAGAGCCTGTGCTCCGCAACGAAGAGTAGCCCCCGCTTGCCACAACTAGAGAAAGCCCACTCGCAGCAACGAAGACCCAATGCAGCCAAAAGTAAAATAAATAAAATAAATAAATTTATAAAAAATAAAAAATCCACCAACTGGCATGTATCCTGTAGTTGAATCTCAATAACAATTTCATTAAGTGAATCATGGGAATATATTACCTAGTACAGTGCCTGATAAATACTGACACTTAACTCATATTGTTTCCTTCCTTCGTCCCTAGTTTTACTGTCAAGAAGTCTGAGGCTCAGAGAGGATGTGACTTTCTAAAGGAAATAGAGACAGAGGCCCCTGAATTAAAATTTGCTGCCTCCTTGTCCAGACTCTTTTTATACCACCTGTCCCTGACGCAAACTCTCTAGTCATCAAGGACAGCCACCTCCCTCGGACCTGGTCTTCTGAACACCCCATAGAGAGTAGATTTCTGGTCTTCAGCATCCTTTTTGAGAACTGAAGTGGGATTCAACCAAATGGCTTCTAAGATTCTTTTCCATTCTGTGACCTCTCATTCTAGTTTGGTTGAACCATTTATTACAGACAAGGAAGTTCAGTTATTTGCTCAGTTTCTCCTCTTTAAAACCCAAAGCTGGAGGCTAGAAATAATTCTTAGGCCAGATGCTTGGATATTACTATAGGGTCTTGTGTCCACCTATTAGCTGTGGAGACCTAAATGATTTTACATTCAATTGTGATACTTGGCTTTCCCCTTGAACATGCTACATCATTTTCAGGGCTCCTGCACCTGCCTTAAGTAAGAAGGGACCATAGTTTTGAAGAGCTGAGATAGATCCATTCTATGCTGAATATTAACATATGATTATTTTGTTATGGGAAAAATAGAACTAGTTTCTACAAACTGTATAACTATGGCAACTTTCAACAAAACAGAAGAGTTTTAATCCTGTAACAATCTTTTACAGGATTGATTGACTGATAAGAGCAAACACTTATATAGCACTTATTTTGCATTTAGGTACTGTTTCAAGTGCTCACTGCATCCTCAAATGACTTTATGAGGTAGGAAACATCATTTACATTTTACTTTGGAGAAAACTGAGGCAGAGTCAGGTCCAGTAAGCTGCCCAAGGCCTCACAGCTGGTAAGTGATAGAGTCAGGATTTCAACCCTGGCAATCCGGGTCCAGAGTCTGTATTCTTAGCCACCATGGTTTAATGGACGAAGATGGAATCACTGAGCAGGCAGTTTTATTTCCTTCTCTTTTTACTGAATGGTGTAGGCAGCGTTGGAAGGTCTGAGATTCTGGATAGCATTGTGTAGCCCTTCCTTCTGTGATAATCAGTAGCTACTAACTAGAAACGAGTGTATGAAGTTAGTAGCATTATTCTTGTTATAACTACTTAACTATATAGTCCATGTTCATTGGATACTCTTCTAAGTGATGTGTACATTTGGAAAGGATTATTCTTTGGCAACAGAAGGTTTTATGGGAGGGAATTATTACAAAGGATATGAGCTCACGGCTTCTGAGTAAAGAGGCCTCCTTGGGTAAATGACAGAAATATTTGCCCTTTGGCTTAAGAAGACAAAGAAATCACAGTACCAATACACAACAATCGCTTGTGCAAAATTTTCTAATCTAAGCAAAATCTGTAAGCTCTTGTGTGGATATACTTTGGAGTACAAGGAGGGTAGTTGACAAATTCACTTTCTGCAGAAGAAAGGAAGGGCCTGACTCTCATATTGGTGAGGGTTGAAAACAGCCAAGGGCTCCTTGCTCAGCCCTATCAGAGGCCAGCCATCGTTACACAATTCTCTCCGGTCGCCAATCCCAGGGAAATTTTTTTGGTTTACTTCCTTTTCATAAGATGACTTGCACATTAATAGTTACTCAATAAATGCTTGTTGACCAGGCATAGAAAAGAAGTGAAACCAAATCAACCCAGATATAAGAAAGTAGAACACTAAGGCTTTAAGCCAGAGAGAGCTCATTTGAAAGACTGGGAGCCTGAGGAGTGTTAGCTCAAGAAGGTTTGCATGTGGGCTGCTCCAGGGAGCTGTGTAATTGAGGGAGAGAGGGACATGGTTGGGTGGGCAGCCTAAAATCCAAGTTGAGATCAGAAGTTCTCACTTTCTTGGTGTCCAGATCTCTGAAAGGGCCCTCGTCATGAGGTAGGGGATGTTACTCTTGCCTTAGCCAGCTGATGGCTTGCTGCCCTGCTCAGCCTCTCCCCATCCTGGAAGGCTTACCTTGCTGCAACCTCTGCAGTTCTTTTTGGAGCCGCCTCTGCTCCCTGCTCAACAACTTCACATGGTATAGGCAGATATCCTCTAGTCTCTGCAGTCTTTGGCTTCAGCCTGCTTGGCGTTCTCCCTCTCCAAATCAAAGTGCTTCTGTAGTGGTCCCCTGACCATGTGCCTCTCCACCCTCTTCATGGTCTAGAGACACTAGAACAAGATTCTCCCAGGCACCATGACAGACCTGATAAAGCAAAACGGGGAACCTGACCCCTGGCTTTTAACTGGAAGATCAATGTTTGAATCCTGTGTTTTTCTGAATCCACAGCTGCCTACTCAGACGAAGTCACACTATTAGAAAACTTTGCCCTGCTGACTAAAATATTATTCACAACCTAAAAGTTAAGAATTATGTTTTATTTGGCAGGAATTTTTAGGACTTCAAGCCCGGGAGGCATCATCTCAAGTAACCCTGAGAAAACTGCTCTGAGGAGGTGAGGGGGGAGCTAGGATTTGTAGAAGTTTGCAACAAAGGCCAGGTAGTAGGAACAAAAGATTACTGCTAATAAAAGAAACCTAGATATCCCAAGTTAAGGAACTTAGCGTTTTTCTATGTATGGGAAGATACAAGAGTCTGGGCTCACTGAAATCTTTCCTTTGATATACACCCCAGCTTATCTGGGGCCAGTATCCTCAGGGCTCACCAGCTCACCCTCGGCTGTGTCTGCAATCGCTGATGTCTGTGACATCTATGGCAGGCAATATTCCATTTATCAGCCCTATAGTAACATGATTTTCCAGAGTGACACAGAAGTATTGAGGACAGAGTCATTTCCTCTGAGCCTCAGTCTCCTTGCCAATAAAGTAGACGATAGGTTCCCTACAAAATCCTCAATCAGGTTGCTATAAAGATCAGTGAAAACTACATGAATAACTTTTGGGGCAAAAATAATAAAAACACTTTACATATATAAGGCATTATTCTCCCTGTGAGATAAGTCTCTTCTACTGTTCTTTAAGTTCTTTAAAGTTTCCCCGAAAACCTGCTCATGGGCCTGGAGAGGATTTGGGGACTTAGGACAGAGCCATTCTGGAGCCCTTTCAGTTCATTAATTCATGAACGCGAGGGTCCATGCAGCCTGCAATCCTACCATGTGGCAGGTGCTATGCTGAGGGCTGAGGGTAGTGGTGAATGAGACACAGCTCCTGCTCTCAAGGAACTTTCAGATTTACGATGCTGGAGTCTAATGGTGCATGCCAAATCTGAACAATCAATATTTCAAAGAGTGGGAAGAGTGGGATCTGTTGGTCACAAAATAGTACAGGTATCCAGAACAAGTAGTCTGGGCAGCTCTGGTGAAACCACTTGGATTGGAAAGTGGTTCCTCTTCCCACGCTCGCCCACCTTCCTCCTCTGAGCTCTGTTGCACTAACAGGCAGGGACACATCTTTCCTCCTCTTTGTGTCCCTCACAATATGCGGAGCTAAGAGCGCAATATGTGCCTGGGATATAAATGGATTGCTATGAATAAAGCTTTGGTGATAATAACACAGGAAAAAGCTTAGCATTAAAAGGGAGGATAAGGTCAGGACACAGGAAAGAAATTTTAAGACAGCTTTTAGTCTAAAGCGTAGACTAAACTTTTATTAAAGAACGTGGTGAGTAGCACTTACCTACAAATCCAGGGTTTGCTGAGAATGTTGCCTGCTTCTTTTGCTATGCCAGGTTGAGCCTGGATTAATGTGCTTGTTTTTCTCCAGTAGATTTTAGGAGCTCGGTGTTGGGGAGGTGGGAGATAGAGAGGCTTTTGGGGAGGGTTGAGGGGGAGAATGTTGAATACACTTGAAAGCTCTCTTCCATGCCACCTCCCCCGTCAGGAATGCTAACTCCCTGGGTGTGGGCACCAATCCCAGAGCTTGAAATAGCTCTGTGAGTTAAGGGGCGCTGCCAGCCTCCAGCCCTCCCCTCAAGGGGCCCACAGTGCCCCTTCTCAGCTGTGTCCACGGGAGCCAAGAATGAAAGCAAGGAGTGTCTTACTGTGTTCTCAGTCTCTCTCTATCCCTCTCTTTCCCCACCCACTTCTCCTCTTTTCCCTCTTTTGTCCTCACTCTCCTCACAATGCCCAGTCCTACTTCTTGGAAACCAGATCAGGTTCCAAAAGAAGGTACCCTGTTTTCTGTTGTCAGATTGTACACATTTTGTGCAGGAGAGTAATTTGTTTATTTTGTATTATTGCCCACTGTACTGACTTTCCCCAGGCTTCTATCCATGTCTTGTGTACTTCAGTGCTTAGTTAAGATTTTCAAAGTTGTCACAATAGAAACAGGCAAAGTGAAATTTAAATCGACTTTTGTGATCATATATTGGACTCTGCGGTAGAAGGCCAGTTGAACTACTGGTTATGGAACAAGACATTAAGTGGGATTTTTATTGTTGCCTGAGGGCTTCCTCTGAAAACAAGAGGCATTAATGTGCCACAGTCTAAAAAGAACTGCCAATACTGTGGCCTATTATTTCCCCCAGAGCTTACTGAGAGGCAGCTAAACAGACCCTATTACTCATAATCATCACCTAGCAAATAAGCTGTTATAAGGAGATTACTGAGGAGAGGGAGAGGGAAATCCATTATTCTCTCAGTGGGAGGTAATATCTTTCCCATCCTTTCTCATGAGGTAATTCTCTCACCTCCAGAATTTAAATGATAGGAATGGGGTTCCAGGAAAATCATCATAGAGAATGGGGTGCGTACACAAGGAAAGACTTACACCTCACTCCCCAGCTGGAGACTTGATGAACTACAGAACCACAGATCAGCCCCCACTCCGACCCTTTGTTGCCACCAGAGCTGATCATAGTGAGGGATTTCTTAGAAAATCTTGGTTACTCCATGTTATCTTGAGAGACAGCTGAGGAGGGCAGGCTTGCAGAAATAACTCAAGGTTGAAGGGCAAGAACGAGCCTTAGTGTGTGAGCCTGGGAAAGGAATGGTGGCCAAACCCATCCTAGCTCCCATTAGCCCTTCAGGTGAGCCAAAGAGGAACTTAGCAGTTTCCTGGCTCCATGTGAAGGAGCACAGAGGTTATATAAGGGGGCAGAAACCATGGCATTGCCCTTGGAAGACTCTAGGTCAAATACGGTAATACTTCACTCTGAGCAGGCATAGAACCACAGGCAGGGCCAGAGCGAGTAGTGATAGAAGGGATCTGATTGAAGGTGAACTTTCTCATGAAAACAACACATCTTAAGAGCAGAGCACAGCAGGAGCATATGGAACATGACTGATCATGGAAAGACCAGTAATGCCACAGCACCACAAAAGTATTAGTTATATAAGAACTATATAGTTCCCCTTCTCCAAGTCCCTGGGAGTCCACTGAGGAAAGGGTTTAAACTTTATTTAAGATTGGAACGTCAACATGGTCTGGACTTCCTTACAACAAAAGTGGCCAGAAATGTGTAGAATCTGTCCATGAAATCATTAAGGGACAAGAAAAAACATTGAAAAGATAGTGATCTGACGAAATATAAAGCTCTAATTCCGTTATCATGTCCCTGCTGTCATCACTAGGGAAAAAGTTTAAACTGCTCATTAAAATGATTATGATTAAAATGAATTTTACAGAATGGATGTAATTTATTCATATACTTTTCTCTCTCTCTCTTTTATATGGAAGTACTGTCCTTTTGTAGTCAAACACATCTGAGATCAAAAAATTATTCCATCATTTAGTAGGATGTATGACTTTATGCATTAATTCTGTCATATCCCCTAGTCTCCTCATCTATGAAAAGGCTTAATAGTATCTTCATCATAGTGATTTTGATAGAATTTGGTGAAAGAATGAATATAAAGTGTTTGGTACATAGTAGATATTCAATAGACATTAGTCCCACTTTCTAGCACAGATGGAGTAACAGGGAGTAGATTTACCCTTCCATATGAAACAATTAAAAAATCAGACAAAATTTATGAAATAATGTGGTTTATTTTTAACATTGGTCATGAGGCAGATAGGATGGTGTTCCCTGCGAGAGCAGAAACAAACCAGGGGAGCTCTATTATTCTCCCAGCTTACTGGCTGGAAAGAGTTTCCAGGCCGTATCATAGGGAAGGGACAGCCAAGCAATGATTCGCTGAGAAGACAGAGGTAAAAGTCCAGAAAGGCCAAGGCAGCTAGGAATGACAACAATAGTACAAATTGTACAAAGTCCAGATGGGAAGAAATGGAAGTATACTGTTATAAGGTTCTTATACTATATGTGCAACAGTATATAATCACTTGAAGGTAGACTGTAATAAGTCATAGCTGTATACTCTAAACTCTAAAGAAACCTCTAAAATAATATATCAAAGAATTATAACTAATTAGTCAACAAATATGATAAAACAAAATCATAAGAAACACTGAATCTAAAATAAGACAGAAAAAGAGGAAAGAGAAAATAAGGAATAGTTTAGATAAAAAGGAAATAGATAGCAAGACAATAGATTTAAACTTAACATTATTAAGAATCACAATAAATATAAATGGTTTTAACACCTGATTAAAAGGCACAGATTGCCACATCAAATAAAAGAACAAGACCACAATATATAATGCTGACAACAACCCAAACCAAAACAAAATAAATTTTTAGTGTAAAGACACAACTAGGTGAAGAATAGAAGGATAGAAAAAGATATACCATGCTAACACTAATTTAAAAAAATAGGGATGGCTATGCTAATAAATAATAATAAATAAAGATTAATCTTCAGAACCAAGACTATTAACAGTGATCAAGAGAGTCATTTCTCAGTGATGTAGGGACTAATATTCATCAAGGGAACATAAAAATCCATAATGTTTTTGCTTCTAATGACAGAGCTCCCAAATACATGATACAAAACTGATGGGACTGTGTGGAAGAATCTATATACCCACAATCATAGTCAGTAATTTCAACACTTATTTCTCAGTAATTTGTAGAATTTATATAAATAAAATTAGTAAGGATAAAAGAAACAAACAACACTATCAACCAACTTGGCCAAATTGACATTTATAGAATATTCCACCCGGCAACTACAGAATACTCATTGTTTTCCAGTGCACAAGGAACATTTATCAAGATAGACCATATTCTGGGCCATAAAACAAGTTTAATAAAAGTATTGAAATAACAAAGTGTATTCTCTGACCACAATGAAATGAAA